AATGGAAAGGTCAGAAAAAATGGGAGATGGCAAGAAGAAAAAAGGAGAAATGCAAATCCAGAACGATGTACCAAACAGAGAGTTCTTTCAGTAGCACTGCCAGTTGGGCAGTTTAAAGTTCGCACAGTGTGTTCTTTAAGGATCCAGGCCTTGGACACACACAGCTTACTCTGTCTCCATTTCTTCAGCAGCCTTCACCACCCAGACGACCCCTTACTACTTACTACATGTTGAGTCACGATGCATCCACTCATGTAATTCACTTTCAGCCCTGCCTTGGCATAGTGAACATTACTTTCTTTTAATGCATGTGCTCTGACAACAGGCCTTAGTGCCTGTTGCTAAACATAAACTCCTCTGGCTGACAGAACGGGGATTGAATTGAACTTGTGGTGTCCACTTGGCTCGCGGCCTTTGCGGCTTCACATTCCATGCCTTCTTCACTACTTACCGACCGCCATGTTTCCTGAGGCAGGAAGTCAGCTCTGTTTCCTGTCACAGTCCTCTTTCATGTGGTCACTTCCTTTTGTTTTGCCAGTACTGTTGTGTTGACTCAGAGAACAGGAGGTGGTGCTCCTCACGGTGGGCTCGAGAACAACAGCGAGAGGTTTTCTCTCTCCGTATCTGCGGCTGTATAAGTGAGCTCTCACGAAGACAGTAATGTCAGCTTACGGCCTGCTTATTATGGCTGCATATCTTAGTGCAAAATGACTTTTGGGTGTGCTGACTGGAACTTTAGCCTTCTCCGTCAATTTTTTCAGAAACTCTTCCTAATTTGTTTTATTTTTGTGCATCATTATCATGTATTTTTTTTCCAAGATGTCCCCCAGCTACAGTAATCAAAGTTCAACTATGTGAAATTGTGGGTTTTGTAACCTTGCTCAGGAATGTTGATTGTGATGACTGCCTGGCTGGGAATCCTGCATTTACTGTTTCCTAAAAGATACTAGCACGTTGGCGGAGATTACAATTGAACTTTGCACACAGTGATTAGCTGGAATGCTTAGATTCCTGTGTACTGCAGCCAGAGATAAATCTTTGTCACAAAGCATCTCTGGTTCCAAAAGCAACACACTTTATTTCCTGTACCAGTGTTGAAACTGGTAGAGTACCCCTTAAAATTAATACTTTGTGATGTTGCAAACATAAATTTATTGAATTTCATTGGGATTTCATGTAAATAGGCTAACACATTTTCTTTTGAAGTAAAAGTCTGAAAAGTGTTTCGACGGTCACCGTCCTAGAATCCCTAAATTCAGTAAACATATTGCTTTTTGGCCACATTTATTACAAATGGCAAATTTTTAATGTGGCACAAAGGCACAACTAGAGCCTCCCAAGAAGCGCTTGTCCACTTAAACTGACAAATTGGGGAAGAAAAGATTTAATCAGAGAAGCAGCCAAGAAGCCCTCTGGAGGGGCTACGGAGATTTGCAGCTCATGTTCCAAATGGCTAGTCTGCTACAAGTCACGTAGAAAGAAGAAAAGGTTGAACTTTTTGCCCTACAAAACATGCAAAGGGCTGTATGCTGTAGAAAACAAATGCTGGAAAGCACCCTGAAATCACCGTCCCCATAAAAATATTGATGTAGCTGAAAAATGCTCTGGGAATGTTTCCCAGTGAACAGGGAAACTGGGCAGAGTTGAAATACAAGGTAATCCTTAACTGAAACCTGTTAGAGGCAGAATCAGAACCAAACATGGAGAAGCAACGTTCAGATTCATGCACCATAAATCTGGAAGAAGCTACCAGAAACTGCAACGCAACTGAAACACTGAGTTATTTTAAATAAAGCTAAAAACTTGTTTAGAATTGCCTTTGATTCATAACTGGAAGATCATCGTATATGATGATGATTATTCTTGATGAATTTGACACGACAAAGCTTATTTACTTGTTTCATAATTATGTTTTTATCGTTTTGCGCACTTTGAACTGCCTCGTTGATGAAATGTGCTGCACAAATAAACGTGAAACTTGAATGGGACGGAATAATAAGTTTGAGCGGCATGGATATTTTGGAAAACACTGTAGCCGGAGGGACTTTGATTCATATACGTGGGTAACTGTGTGTGTTCATGTTTATCCCCAGTTGCGTGTGTTTTTTAAACCGCCATCACTGGCTGAGGCAGACTGTGCTTCAGAATCAAAGACTTAACAGAGTTGCTGTTTGTCGTAGTGCCATTCCACTAAAACACACACACACACACACACACAGTGGGGCAGACGACGAGCGTTTTCCACTGGCCACACCAGACACCCTGGGCCACACTCCCCACACAGCACACCAAGTTCTGTTAGAGTTTTGGTATTTCCCATCAGAGCACTTTTATGTCCCCTCGCATCTGCTCACTCTTTTGCTCCATTCCTTCTGGACTAAATGTTCTAGATCATCACACCCAAGCCATAATAGATTTCTTCAGTGCTGCAACTTTTTTTCTTCTCTCTCCATCCTGTCATCAGGATGATGGAAGGGCCGTAACAGGACATCCCGGCGTCTGCCCACACATTGCAGGCATTCCTTATTCCAGCACAGCTGAATAGAGCAGCACACTTAGCAGTCATGGGAGACGGAGACTCATGACTAGACTTTTCTCTCTTTGCCTTTTGTCATAACTACTGATGTGCAGCAGCAGGAAGAGGAGAAACGGGAGAGAAGCATTGGCGAAGCTGATCAGGGAAGGGCTGTCACATAGCCCAGATCATGAAAACTAGCCCAAGACAATTGGCTGAAGCAGTCAAGTCATTTAATTCAGGAATAATTACATTGAGTGTCCATGGCGGACCGAATGGGCCTTCGGAGGCTTTGAGAAGGGAAAGAAAGTGAGTAATACAAGTGCATAGAGTGACACAAGTTGATAATAATGTTGCAGTACCTCACTTAAAAAAATTGCCATGAATCTGCATCTTAAAATAGAAACATTTCTTCAGCTCCTGTAATTTGGGGTTCTTAAACAGTTTGAAAGAGGTGTTATTAGGATGCATTATGTAAAACGTATGACAAAAACAACTTCTTTTTCTTATATCTTGCAAGTTTCCCCATTTCCAAGGAGCTTAGAGTCAAATGGCTTGACGACTATTTAACCCCTGAAGAACTGACAGAATCTTTCATTTTGCACATTTGTTTTTATGTTAAATTAATTTGGTGTTCTCTTGAGTTTTTTTTTTTTCAGTTATTTTCTGATGAAAACATGATATATTACATTAGAAGAAAATAAAACGTACAGAAATGTGGGGTTTATGAATTTTTTAATACCTGCCTTTTTTTTTTCAAACGGTACTTTTAATCTGACAAACAAGCCCCACTGGATAGCATATCATAATTTACTGAATATGACATTACATACAGGAATAGCCATAAGAGATCAACTTTTTGGTGCAAGGTATTATAATCTGTTGACCAAAAGCCAGATCTTGTAAAGATATGCCTGTAGTTTGTACGATACTATCATTATTCTGATAAAACTTAAATTGAAGTGTGTAGTCAAAATGGCCATGCTTAGACTTTGGGGGAAGCCTGAGAACATCCCAGCTGTGAAGTCCAGGTGTGTCATCATCATGGTGTGTGAGTGTTGAGCTACAGCAGTGACTGGTGAACGTAACAAAATAGACAGCATCATGATGAAAGAAACTACTGCGGAAATACTGAAACATCTCTGAAAGCACAAACGGGTCTTCCAAATAGACAATGACTGTAATAAAACTGAATAATTTGTTACAAAGTGGCTTAAGGACACCAGAGTCGATGCTTTTGGAGGAGCCATCACAAAGCTCTGATTTCACTCCTATAGAAAACAGAGCTGAAGAAATGTGTGCAAGAATGGCACCCTACAAACCCGACTCTGCTCCAGCAGTTCTGTCAAGATTAATGGAGCAATATTATTGTGTAATCAGAATATTCATCTATTAAGTGAACGCATAGGCAGTGACACTAATTTGTGGCACGGGACTTATTTTGGAGTTCAGGAGAAGAAGTGATGGCTGAGATGAGTAGAAACAGAGGTGAAGGCAGCACAGAGGGTACAGACTACAAACCAGATGTGAAGCGGTGACTCACGGCGGGCAAAAGGCTTGATGACGTTGGCTGCTATGCACGCTAAGCTCTGCGTGCGAGTGTGTGTGTGCATGCGTGTGTGTGTGTGTGTGTCAGTGTGCGTGCCGGGACTTCCAGCCTTTCCTCCAAAACAACAAGCTTTACGCAGGCACTGTAATGTCTGGGCAAGGCTCATTACTTCATGTTTAAATACGTACAGAAAATTATGCGAAGGCAGAGCTGAAACTATTTTCTGAGGTTAAACGGTCACTTTAGTAGCACTTTGAGTCAGTGTGGAGTTTAAAATCAAACAAACAGGTGAAGTCCTGAGTGTTTTGTGACTTGGGCGTCAGAGTGCAGTGGAAGAGAAAGAGTGTCTCGCTTTCTGCGGTTTGCTCAGCAGACATTTACCCAATATTCTCGCTCTTTTGTTTGCCCTGTTTTTATAACGCTTCACTAGCTTCCTGCTCAAAAATTAGTTTTTCCACTGGTGGTGTCACTAAGCAACGTCAGAGCTTAGCATTACTGTGTCTGTAAGGAGGAAAGATTAGTCGGTTTCCTCCCTTTGAATTCGTGCTGGTTTAGACAAGACACAGAGTCAGGTGGAATGTGACTGCTGGGTATTTTTTTTTTTTTTTTGACAATAGCCTTCTCTGTTTTCCTATGAGCCCACATTAGTTCAGGATGTGTTGCTCGTGGAGTAAACCCACTGACATCTATTGAGTGTGTGCACGTGTGTTTTCTTTGGAAAGCAAACAGCATGGGATCGTTGAGTGACCTTAAAAACCTCTCTTCTCTCCTCATAAGTCAATTGTCAAGGCAAGCATGTTTTCAAGGGCCGCCACCTGTACGCACGGATTTACACTTCTGTGATAAAGCACATCTGAGGTGTTTTGGGAAAAGGGCAAATGTCCCTGTTTGTCTGCTTCTCATCCTTTTCTCTCCCTCTCCCTCCCTCTCCTGCAGAACTCCATTAGACACAACCTGTCCCTGCACAGCCGCTTCATCCGCGTCCAGAATGAGGGGACGGGGAAGAGCTCGTGGTGGATGTTGAACCCAGAAGGCGGGAAAAGTGGAAAATCCCCACGACGCAGGGCTGCCTCCATGGACAACAACAGCAAGTTCTCCAAGAGCAGGGGAAGAGCAGCAAAGAAAAAGGTGCGTTAGTCAAGGACTTTCCCATGTGTAAAACAATTGCTTACAGAAGTTCTGACAATGTTTCAATGAATTAAAGTGCGTCATCGAAATAAATGTTAGAAATTGGATGTGGTGTAGCCAAAAGTAGCCTGTAAGAATATATTTGAAGCCACATGTACCATTTTGGACAAGGCCTCGGCCCAATAAACCTGGTCCTACCTGTTACAAAAACAAAAAGTTGCTTTGTGTGTCAAAAAAATCATTTGCCAAACTTGTTTTCTTTTTTAGATACATCTAAAACTAAGTTACATTCAAAAATCTGTCAGTTTTCAATTGGTGAGCTCTGGTCACTGAGTGGTTCATCAAAAATGATTATCACTGATTCATTCAGTGCGTCAGTGATAAGAATGTTGAGAGATCGAATTTGATGTTTAAACATTTTCTGCTGGCATTGAAAACTGTTATATCAAGAAACCTACAACACTTTTTATAGTTTTCTACGGTTTAGTCCTTGGAAAAGTCAGAATCAACAGTTCTGACCTCAAAGAAAACCAGAAATTGGGTCAGGCAAGAAAAGCCTGACTTGAACATCTTAAGACTTAAAAAATGTTGAATTGATTTATAAACTACCTAACTGACAGAACCCAATGTGTGTCTAAGGATGTTTGCCAAAGATCAATTTTGGGACCAGTTCATTTTTTTGTACTAATATAAATAATAATAGGTCTACATCCAGCTATGGTTCTCTTATTTGCCGATGATAGAATTATTTATACAAGTAGTGGTAGGTTTCCTTTAGTTGACGCTTAACTTCTTTTAAAGGTGTCTACTCAGATTAAGATAAGCACTTAATCCCATAAAGATAAATTTTTACGTGTTTCTACCTGTTCAAGATCTACTAGCCTCCCAGATACAATATTAGGAGACACTCATTTGGAGAGTGTTTTGATGATAATTCAACCATTGATGTCTATAATAAAAACTTTAGACCAAATATGGGTTTTGATTTTAATTTAAAAGTCTACTTTCCCTTCTTCCTCGGAAACAATTAGCCAGGAGCATATTCTTATTAGTTTAAGTTATCCTTATATAAGTTACTTGAAGCACAGACAGTTAAAGAAACTGTACATGGTTTACTGTGTTGCTCTGCACCTTGTTATAAGCATGAAAACTATTATTCACCCTTGCAAACTTTATGAGGTGCTCAAACATTTTTTCAGTGTAAATAACATCCAGTCTTTGGGAAAGGCTCCCAAGTAGGCTAAGGAATTAAACAAAATTGCTCTATAAACACATACATTCTCCTTTGAACTTAGACTTATTTACTTTACTTAGAATATAATTACTTTTTGTGTAAATTAAATGAAAGTTTAAATTAATTTCTCCATTTCATCGCTCGAACAGTGATAATTTCCCTTTGGTTTCTTCCTCATAGCTGTCCCTGCAGGGTGGCCCCGATGGCAGCGCAGACAGCCCAGGTTCCTATTCCAAGTGGCCCGGCAGCCCAAACTCCCACAGTAATGATGACTACGACGCCTGGAACGGCTTCAGGCCTCGGACCAGCTCCAATGCCAGCACCGTTAGTGGGCGCCTCTCACCATTTGTGCCTGAGGACGACCTCGGGGAATCCGACGTGCACATGGGCTACCCTGGAGCTCCAGGATCAAAGATGACAGCCACGCTGCCCAGCCTCACCGAGATGACTGGATCTCTGGGACACAGTTCTGAGAATGTCATGGAAAACCTCCTGGACAACCTGAACTTGCTGTCGCCCAACAACTCACAGGTCGGAGGCGGGGCAACGACCCCCGGGTCCTCCCAGTCCTCCCCCTCACCGATGATGCAGCCGAGCCCCGGTTACCCGGCCTACAGCTCCCCGAGCATGGGCTCGCAGTCGCAGCAGGAGTTCCACAAGTGCGTCTACGGCCAAGCTGGGATGAACACCTTGCCATCCATGCCTTTGCAGACTCTGTCAGAAAACAAGCCTGGCTTCGTGCCCGGCATGGGGCAGTACAGCTGCCCCGCTGGGCTCCTGAAGGAACTGCTGACGTCAGACACCGACCAGCACAGCGAGATGATGCCGTCAGTGGACACAGTGGTGTCTCAGTCCAGCGGGAGCTGCATGCTGCCACCGTACAGCAGCAGCCAGCATGCAGTCAAACTCATGGCAGGAGGGAACGCTCACCCGCACGGTCTCTCTCACCCCCACAACGTGCACAGCCAAGGCCAGGCCGCGTCACCAGCTATGAATGGCCGCTTGCTCATGTCGCTGAGCTACAACGGGGGCGGCGCCCGTCTACCTGTCACCAAAAGCCCCATGCAGATGCCTTATGGCCTCCCTGGGCACCTCGGTGGGGGAGCCATGCCCGGCAGCTTCTGTCCTCTCAACACCAACGGATATGGTCGAGCGGGCATGTCCGTACCATCGCACATGGAGAAACTTCCAAGCGACCTTGATGACATGTCCATTGAGAAGTTTGAGATCGACGTGGAGAGGGTGCTCCATGAAACGCTCATGGACGGCGACTCACTGGACTTCAACTTTGAGCCAGTTGTGACCCAGCAAGGTTTCTCACATGGAGTGAAGACCACTACACACAGCTGGGTGTCCGGGTAGAAAGTGAAGGCAATCAGAGATTTACTCAAGTGACACAATGCTGTTTAGGCAAAGAAAGAAAATTAAATATGAGATTAAAGTTTCGTATCCCAAAAAAAAAAAAAAAAAGACATGCAGCAACATTTCTGCTCCAAAATTATACTTTCAGGCAACATTATTTCTGCAGACCCTTTATGGACATGTCAACTTCAGAGCCAATGAAGACAAGATCAGGATTTTCTCCAAGTGCCAAACATTTTGCCTTAACAAGAGAGTCGAACTGAAACACAAACAGTGTCTTGAAAAGGGCTAGTACCCCTTAAAGTTTTTCATGTTTTATCACATTACAATCACATACTCAATTATATTTCACTGGAATTTCATGACAAAAACCAACACAATTTAAGAGTGAATGTGACAAAAAAAATAATTCTTGTTCAAGATGTTTCATTGCAATCACTTCTCCAGGTCTTTTATCATTGTTTACACATTTGGATCTTGACATATTTAGAGACTGATATTTATTTGCTCATTCGTCTTTGTAAAATAGCTCAAGCCCAATAAGATTGGATGGAGAACATTTGCAAATAGTTTTCAGGTGTTGACACAGACTCTCAATTGTTGGATTTTATTGTTGCACTTTGACTGGTCCTTTCTAAAACATGAATATGCTCCATTCTAGCTTTGATAGCAGATTGAGGATTGTTTTCGTGTTGCTAGGTCAACTTCTTCCCCAGACTCAAGTCTTCTGTAAACTCCAGCAGTATTGCTTTCAGTATTGCCCTCCATTTTTCAACATCCATCTCCCCAACATGGCTCAAAAAAATGCATCCCGACAGCATGATGCTGACGGCATCATGTTTCAGCATCCATATATTTTCCAGAGGTGATTGGCAGTATTAGAATTCCTTCATAATCCCTGCTCTGTATGCATGTCAGAATGTTTAAGTCTAGTTTTAGTCATACCTGACCAGAGTGACTTCTTCAATATAATCTGTCCCTTTACTTGTGAGAAATTTTAAACATTGCATTGTTGTCTTTCAACAATGGCATTATAATTGCCATTTATCCATAAAGGCCAAATTTGATTCTCTCACCTGAACTGTGGTACCAGTAACTCTTGCAGAGTTACCATGGGCTTCTTTGTATTTGCATATGGTGCAAAAAGTAAATAAATAAATATTCCATTAGAGCTTTTGATGTTGTTTTATGAATTAATTCTGATTCCTGCTCACTGGCTTGTTGGGCATGTTGATTCTTGATTTTTAATAATGCTGTAAATAAGCACAGGTGGACTCTATTTAGTGATTAGGTGAAGGCATTCAATTGGACTGGATTTAATTTAGGAATCTCAGACTAAAGGTGGCTGAATACAAAAGCACACCACACTTTTCAGCTTGTTATGTCTAACAGTTTATAAACTTTGAGTTGTTTTCATTCCACTTACCATTTATGCACATTTTGTGTTGGTCTGTTGCATAAAATCCCAGTAAAAACACATTGAAGTTTGTTTTTGTAACCTGACAAAAAATATTGGAAAAAGTTATAGGGGTATGAATACCTTTGCAAGGCGCTGTATTTCCAGTTTACACGCAAAAGGTTACAGACACTGCCAAATACATCTCATCATCGGCACAACAATCAGAAGATGGACACCTTCGCAAGCTGTTTGTAATGTTCCATCAGTCAAGCTTTTTGTACCAAAAACTGATTTCAGCTTCTGTCGAACGATGAAGGTAACGCGTCTTGTGTCTTTTTGGACTGAAGTGCTTAAAAATGAGAGATTTCTCAGTGGACTCAGAATGTTGTTACATAAGAACATGCTTGTTGCCTGAGTGTACATAATGTAATCGAACAGTTTGTAATATTTGTTCCTTGTTTCTTTTTTTCTTTTTTTTTATTGAGTTTGTAAATACTGTTTACAGAAAGGAAATGAAAATCAAACCAGCAGAAGTGAGCTCAAAAATAAAAATGAAAACTGGATCTTTTAATTACACGTTGGGTGAACAGGTCAGTCAGGCTGATTTCTTGTACATACTTTGAAAATGTATATTAAAATGAAGCAGTACATGTTTACTAGATATAGTATATATTTGTGAGCTAAGTTATTTGAGGTTAATATAGATTTACGCTGGTGCACAAACTGCACTCGGACGTCGGAATCGTTCTGAGTTATTCGTCACTCTGAACCTTAATACCACAGGGGCCTATTTGTTGTGCCTGAAATTGTAGATTTTTGACTGCAGGCTCAGATAATATTGTAAATGTCTACAGTCCAGGAGATGCTCAAATACAGCAGTCTTGAAGAGAGAAAAAAAAAATATTTCTAATCTCCGTTTGCTTTTCTGGAGCTCAAAAGAAAAAAAAAACTTTGTAACTTTGTTGCTGAGGTTTACTGAACACACATTTAGTGCTGTGAATGTTACTAGTTCCAGACAGTTTGGATGAAAGAAATTTCCTAGCGCTGCTGCTGTCATTTTCACGCTAATAACCAGCCTGTGCCAGAGCTTTGTTGTGTTTTCTTTCTGGTGTCAAAGGTTAGAGTTGATCCAAAGGAGCCCTCTGATGCTGTCTTTAAGAACAGCCTTACTTCTCTTATTCTGTCCTCTCCTACCTCTGCTTGTTGTTGTCTCTTTAAATATTTACATATCTTGATGGCACCTAATTTTTGTTTATTAAAAGGTTTACTAAATTTATTGTCCCTAAAAAAAAGAATGCCACTGAGTGTTAGTCTGATCTTAAGCTTGTATATTTGCATTTTCTCGCTGATCGCTGCACTAACAGACATTTCATCTTATGTAGAGTCAAAAATGTGAATGTGTCTGAAAACTCATTTCATGGTGAAAAGGCAAAGAGGATCAGGAATAAAAAGGAATTTAATAAACTAAGTTTGACAGTAACTTTAGTAGTGGGATTTACAGTGCAACCCTCGATTATTGGCAACACCTGGTAAAGCCTTGTGTAACAATTCCTTTTTGCAGCAGCAGCATAATTTCATACAGAATATATATTTTCAAATCCAACCAATTGCATTTATTTAGTAGAGCAAGCTTCCCATATTAAAAAAATATAGTTTAAACAACTGTTAAACTTAGAAAAAGTCTTTGCCTATTTAATTTATTTGAAGGCAAATGTATAGTGATAATCAGCCAAGACGTTACCACAGAAGAATGTTGAGATAAACTTTTTGTTAATCAACATAGTTTATTTTTGCAGTTCCAATCTGTTTATGAGTTGTAACAGATTCACTTAAATCTAAAATAGCTTTACTCGTCTTAAATGAAGTTTGTTATACAAGGGTTAAAATGTATATTTAATGGTAATATAATGAAAAGTAGGTTTTACACTAAATCCACTTTCAGGTACTGCTTTAAATGGCACTCATAAGGAGATGTTATGTTTTTCAAATATCTTAGCAACGTAACCTTTGATCCCTATAAGTTCACATGACATTCTTATCCTTTTTAGATTACTTCCATATCATTTAAGGGTTTTTTTTTTTTTGTTGCACATGTTTACCAGGGTTGCAAAATTGTGGAGGGTGCTGTATCTGGAAAATGACAAGAGTTAATCTTGTTTTGTTGAGGACTCTGCGTTTGCCGGTTTTTATACAACCTCTTTTGACATGACTTCAGCTTTAGAAACACAGATAAATGTTCTGTGAAAACTTCAGTTTGAGCATGTAAACGTAGTAACATTTTAGTACAGCCAGACTAGTCAAATCTTAGAAGACTAAAGCTAAATTCTTAACCCTTTACAAAAAGCAGAGAAGCCCTCAAAGAAGCTGCTGCTTGGCCTGCATGCCAGGCATTGCCTTTCCTTAACCCCAAACATGCCATTATATGTACTATAGCCAAATCTGCCTTTGAGGTCAAAGCGATATATTCAACGTCTCCATCGTGTGATGTGTTCAGAACCATATATATAATTTTTATGTAAAAATGTATAAATATATTTGTGCCGGTCACTCAAGTCAGGATTAACTGTATTAAATCTATGTAGATTTACTCTAAAAGCTAAAGAGGAGCTGTACTAAGTAAATTATATCTCTACATTTTCAGATGATTGAATCTATGCATTGTATTCCTTAATTCTATGTTGCTGTTATATTTTCTTCTCCCCCCCCCCACCCCTTGAACTTTTAACAAAAAATGTTTTATTGTAACATAACCCTGTGATGTTAAGGTGTTGTTCTTGTCAAATCTTTATGTTCCTGATAGTTATATGGGGGCTGAGGGGGGGAAATGAAGTTTATTTAGAAAATAGATGATGCAGTGATCGATATGCTAAGCTTTTAACTATACTGTTTTTACTGAAATTATCAAAGGTTTTTAGAAAAATAGCAACAAAAAGCAAATTACTTAAAAAAAAATTGTGAAGTTATATTGCATTTTGAAAATACACAATATTTATTCATCAGAGAAGTCCTGCTCAAGAGGCATGTTTTGGACCAATTTAGATGATGCACTTTTACTTACATTTATTACAAAGGGCTCCTCGTAACAAGAGGAAGAGTTCCCACGTTATAGTTTAGAGTCAAAATCTGTTACATTTACTTAATTAAAAAAAATATATATGAAATTGTGAAGTCTGATTTGTAATGATAAGAAAATGTAATATTGTTTGATATCAATGTTTTCAGATCTAAATAAATGTACTTCTGTGTAAAAAAATGTGTTGGAATTGTCGTTCTGTGGGCACAAAAGTCATTTGAAATCTTGTTTTAGTTTGGCGCAGCCAGACTGTCGCTGTCCTTGAAGAAGAAAATGAGATGACCCGTAAAGCTCAACAAACGTTAAATCCCTTGAACTTTTTCACATTTTGTCACACGATAACCAAACATTTCTTTCTTTTGGGGTTTTATCAGACAGAGCAACACACAGTGGTGGTGCACATAAACACGTGGTCAACATCGTCTGTACATCTCTATCACTCAGTGGCGCAAAAAGTGGGTATGCAGCACATGCAACGCATAGGGGCGCTGCACCAGAGGGGGCGTCAAAACCCGGTCTGGAGGGGGCAGCGCCCCGATGATGCCTTCGCATACACTTCACCGCACGCTTACGCTCCTTCACCTCACGCACATGTAAATGTAAATGTAGAGAGTTTTAACTTTCACGTGTGTTCGTCTCGGGGGGGCGCCGATTTATGTTTTCGCATCCACCTGAATAATATGTAGTTGTGCCCATGCCATCACTGAATGAAAATTCCACAATTGTCACCAAAATAACTTGGAACTGACGAAAGAAATAATAAATAAACTAAATACTAAGAAATAACTAATGAAAATCAAACATTACTTTTGAAATGTGTTTGGACAAAATCATTTTACAAACTACTGTAACAGACCTGGACAAAAATGATAGGATCTATAACTTCATATTTTGTTACACAGATTTTATTTATTTTATTTTTTTTTTAAAAGAAATCGAGCAATTTATTTATCTGTTGAGTTCTGCACCTGTCCACAGGTGTTGTGGTCCACTCCTCATGGACAAGCTACTCCATTATCTCAGATTTCAAGGGTGCCTTTTCCAGCTGGTGTGTTTCATCTCTTTCCACAGACCTTCCGTACCGTTTAAATCTGTTCAGTGTCTTGCTTTTAGCTATTCTTGGGAGTTTTTAGTTGTGTTTTGGGTCATTTTTCTGTGGGAACACCCATGATTTGTGACTGAGACCAAACTTTCTGACACTAGGCAGACACTCTGCCTTTATGGTCATGAGATTTCAAGGTACCCTGCACAGATTCAAGATGCTCTGTGCCAGATGTAGCAAAGCAGCCGCAGATCACAACCAAGCTTTCCTCCTTTATCATCTTCCATGAAGTACACTTCAGCACAAACTGTGACAGATTGACACCATTTCTATGGTGGTGACAGCACCATGCTGAGGGGAAGCTTTTTTCAGGAGACAGGTAAGCAGTTTAGACTTAATGGAAAGAAGGCTGGAGTTAAATACAAAACAATCCTGGATGAAAACCTGTTTTAGTCTGTAAATTGCTTGAGACTAAGGAGACAACATAATACAGCTGCAGCAAACAATTTTACAAGTGTCACACACTGGTCCTCTAGGGCCTTAATTCGGAAACTTCTTTATGTTTCCTTGTTTCAACACACCTGATCAAGCTGGTAAAGAACAATGAACCAGTGTTGTGGTACTCGAAGTCAGTCTTTGTCTCGAGACCGGTCTTAAGACCATTTTTGATGATCTCGGTCTCGTCT